CAGGAGGGGGACTCCTCCATCGATCCAGCAGAGGCCTGGGTGCCAAGAAGATGCTGATAAGTGCTGCAGCAAATGGGGATCCTCTGTGCCTGTGAAGGAGCCCATCCGTCCCTGTCTGAGGTCACCCATAGAGGATGAGGATGGGCAGAGTGGTACAGGTTTGTAGTGACAGTGGGAAGTGTAGAAGGGAGACATTCTGGCCACGAAGCAGGTTCCTGGATGGTGTCCAGACCTGCTGCTACTTGGCCATGGGTTTCAGGCTGGACTCCTCTGTCTGCATCTCAGATTTTTGTGACTTCAAACATGGAAGAGTGGTGGGCAATAGGAAGGTGGTGCTGAAAGCAGGGTGAGGGTTGTGTTTGTACCCCAGATGGGGATGCAGGCCTCGGCCATGGGCAGAAAGTACATTCATAGTTGCCTCTTAGAGAGCATCAGTTGGGTACCACTGGGCTCAGGTTGAAACTGGGCCGCATATTAGCCTACCCTGTGATGCCTAGCATCTTTCACTCTTTGTGAAGGTCACAGGATGAACACATAAAGCTGTTTCCTGTGCTTGCCCTGAGGACTCTGCTTTGCCACTTCTTAGTTGTGTGCCTTTGGAACTGCCTCTGCCCTTCCTGAAGCTCAGGTTGATCACCTGTAAGATGCAGAAACTAGACCACTTGATAATCAGCCCCCTTCAGGCCCCTTCTTCCAAACCCGGATGCTGCACGCTCTAACTCAAACTCCTACTTTTGCAAGCCCAAAGGATGAAAATCATAAAACTTGAGGCATAAGGAAGTCAAAGGCATCCCTCAGGGACTCTTGGTCTGTTCCGGGGAAGATCTGTGTCCTAAATATGATCTTTTTAAAACAAGCATCTTAAAGTAGTCATTTTATAGTGCTGTAGGCCTTGCCAGTCAGCATGGTTCTAAAACTTTTATATACGGAAGAATTATCCATGGAGCTAATTAGAAATATAGTTTCCTGGACTCAAGTTTAGTGAGGTTGCGATGGTAGATTTGCATGGTGTGTCAAGGAGCCTATGTCTACCAGTTTCCAACAGTTGGGGGACCACGGCTGGGGTGCACCCATATACATAAATAACACTGACCTCAGGGTAGGCACTCTTTCTAGACTCCCAAGATCACTGAAGTCTTGGCCAGCTACCGTCTCTCTCTGAATGTGCCTTGTTTTCCCCAAACTAAACAGAGAAAGCACTGGACAAAGTCAACAGTTTTTCACACACCTTAAACAATTTATGCAATCATATTATTCATGAAATGTCATGTGGTTCTGCAAAGGTAGGGCTAGAGAACCAAGTCCTGCCCTCGGCCCTGCATGGGATCCCAAGGTCTCTGTGTGCAATGCTCAAGGGCTCAGAAGGCCTGGTTCAGTTTAGATTATCTGCAGGGGTTCCGTGAAGGGCAGCTTGACAGGAATGTAAGCACCTTGGATACTGTGTGGCTGGGGCAGACTGGCATTAACTATAAAATGCTTTTGTCTCTCTGCACTAACCTTACACTGAGAACCACAGCTCAAGTCTGGCACTTCCCGAGGTGACTTCTTGAGCTGTTCCCAGCTGCAAGTAAGCCATTCTAGTATATGTCCTCAGTTCCTCCCCTCTCAGAGACTAATACAATAACTTTAAATTTTAAATCAACTTTAAAAAAATCACACTATTCAGTGTGTGTGTGTGTGTGTGTGTGTGTGTGTGTGTGTGTGTGTGTGTGTGTGTGTGTGATATGGGAAGCCGTTCTCCCCCTTTACCATGTGAGTCCCAGGAATTAAACTCTGATAGTCAGGCTTGGCAGCAGGCACCCTTACCCACTGAACGATCTTGCTTCCCCCTGAATACAACCAACTCTTTATAGTTTTTGTTAGTGGAGATGAGCAAGGGTGGGAATAATCCACATGATGGACAACCCGAGCTAATGAACTTACTTTCACTTTGGAATGCATTTTGGTATTCTTGTGTGAATGTGAATGTATTTGATTTTCTGAGAATTTTTAATATATATGTATATATATTTTAAAAAGCCAGACTCACAATCTCATGGTGGGGCTCCCTCCCTGTCTCCTCCTCAGCTGGGTAGAAAGCATCACTTCTGCACTAGTCCAAAGTTAGTGTCAGCCACACTCTCCCGCCCCTTTGCCATGTCTCTGGCTCACACCTTCCCTAGGAGAGACTGGGGATATTAACTGATTCTGCCTTTAAAGGACTTTCATTCCCTTTGGGCCTCATGCAAATAAGAACAGAACAAGAAGCTGTGAAATGTTAGCAGAGGACTTCATTAAGCAATCTTGGTGATAGCATTTGCCAGGAATGGGGACAATTTGCCAACAGATAATTGAGAGCTGACTATATATGTGTCCTAATTAAAAAAGTGATTCTTCTCACTGCCCTGGGATTCTGGGCCCAGTCTTCTGGTTGGCTTAGGATATTAGCCACAGCTAACTTTTGTATACACTTTATGCTTCACAGAGCACCTCTCATATATTATCTTACTTAAGCCATCCTCTCAGTACCCTATGGAGAAGGATCGCTCACCAGCCTCCCAAGTAGAGACTTAAGTGACTGAGGCTCAAGCCAACTGTCCCGCTGTGGTGATGCCCAACCAATTCAGTCTTCTTCCCTCTCACTCTGACTTTCTCTTTTGTCACCGTCAAAGACACAACCTCAAGAGGTTTTTTTTTTTCCTTATTTGTTTCCACCCAAGGAGGCACCAGCCAAGAAAACACAGCTAACTTGTAATGGCTCCCTGTGTCTTTTAAAAGTTCGATGTAGGCATGTGTATAGCGGAGAAGTTTTATGTTAAAAGCATTTAGGAAAAAAGGAGAGGCGATATTCAGACTTCTGGGGGTTAGAGATGGGTTCTTCCTTGCAGAGAGGCTTATGCTGTGTCACTGAGTCTGATGTCTCAGAAGACAGGCTGACTAGATGGAGACGGAATGGGTAGAGACAGAACTCCTAGGATACAGGAACAGGCCCACCTCCAGGCTGGCCATTTCCACTGCAATCCTGAGACACAAAGCCCTTTCTATTTCATAGATGAGGAACCGAACTCAGAGAGGGTAAGTAACTGGCCCAAGGTCATTGATGATGGATAGTGGAACTAGGTTTTGAATTCTTTCATTTCAATACTGGTTTTGTTTACACAGCTGTACTGAGTGCAAAGGGAGTTTCATCCCTGGCTTTCCTCTTTAGAGGGCAGAGACTGAATACAGTGCCCTCTAACTGCTCCAGCTGTGTTCTAAGAACAGATGTGACAATGATAGGCCATCTGCTTTATACCTTCCACATATAGTCCCTGCCCAACTCTAGATCAGGGTAATACTCCCATGTGCCCTTAGGGCTGAGGTGAGCCCCATAAACATTAATTTAGGATGAAAGTTCTCTGCACCCAGGCTAAGGCATGACTATTAAATCTCTTTGTGTGTATGTGTGCCTGTCTAGAGTCCAACATTCAAACTCTTTGTTTTTTTGAGAGCATCACTCACAGACCTGGAGCTCTCAATGGTCAGTAGCTTTCCTGTGTCCACCTTCCCAGTACTTGGATTACAAGTGTTTGATTCCATGCCTGGCTTTTTGACATGTGTTTCAAAATCAACTCAGGTCCTTATGTTTGCATGGCAAGCACTTTTCTAGTTGACGAAATTATCTTCCCAGCTCTCTCTCCCTCTCTCCCTCTCTCTCTCTCTCTCTCTCTCTCTCTCTCTCTCTCTCTCTCTCTCTCTCTCCCTCCCTCCCTCCCTCTCTCTCTGTGTCTGTCCCTTTCAATAGGATCTCATTATGTAGCCCAGACTGTCCTTGAACTCATAACATTCTTGCTTCTGATTTCTGAGTCCTGGGATTACAGGCATGCTCCATCACGCTTGACTTGGAATGGCGACTTCCACTCTCCTCCTTGGCACATCCTTAGATGTAGAAGCTGATCCTCTACAACAGCTTCCTCAGCTCAGGCCTGGTTTGGTGACTGATGACTTCCATTCCCTGCACTGCTGGAGCTGTGGGCCTTTGCAATTGCTACTGCAGTGCTATGATGCTTATTTGTTGCGGGATAACTCAGCGAGGCAGGCTGGTGCCTACCAGAACCCTTCTGCTGGGGCATGGGATCAGGGGCAGCTGTTGGCTGCCATCTTGGGAGAGTGGTCCATGCCTGCCTGCCTTTTAGGACATCTCTATTTTCCAGCTGGAAGGCCTCTGGAGATGCTTATGGCTCCTATAATAGCAAAGTTACTCATGGCTTCACTGGAGAGAGCAGAGCAGCTTTGAAACCTCCTCCCCTAAACACAGCAATATTTGGTAACAGTTGGCGTCTTGGGGAGAGAATTCATGTCTGTAATTAGTTACTGTATATCACCGTGAGTACTCTGCTCAGGATTTACTGGGCAAATACCATTTAACTGCACAATAACTACAGGTCCTTGCTGCTTATTGGGTAATTTACTAAGGCTGGGAGAATGGGGCAGGAGGGATGCTGAATAGGAGGTATTGTAACCCCTTGAATCAAACTTTATGAGTTCAGGTTTGGCAGAGGAGAGGCTGCTCTTCGCCAGCTCTCCTTGCTTTGTTTTGCAGGGTTGGTGGCAGATTGCTTCCTTTCTTTTATTCATTGCAGAAGGACAGGTCTGAGACTGGGCTGTGGGACTGCCCAGGGCCACCTAAGGTTATGGAGGGGTCTTTTGATTGAGAGGGTCTTTGGCTGGAGTCTGCTGCAGAAACCCAGGCTATGCATCCAGCCTGTCATTGACTCCTTCCATGGGGCCCCTTTCTGTATCTGGGCCAGTGGGTGGGGAGGGCAGGGAGCCGTCCTTGGCTGGCAGCATCAACATAATCTCAGTTCTCTCTTCTCTCACAAGTATGCGTGTTGCTTGGGAAGCAGCCATCCCTGGACCTTGGATGGTGTTCCCAGCCCTAATCTGCTTGAGCAAAGTCTGTCTTTGTTTGGCCGTGCACTGTCTAAACTCCTGTAACCTATTTAGGCCACAGAGAGGGGAAGAGACACAATAATGAAAAACCCAACGTGCAACATTGCCTTACGCAATCTAATAAATTACTCCATAGCCGGCTGCCAGCTCAGACTAAGCCCAATATTGCCTGCAGTAATTATTTGGATCAAATGCAGTTTATCTGCTTCATATTTGTGCTTCTGTGCTCAGTGGTAACTTATAAATGTCATTGTGGTGTTTATTCGTTATAATGAAACTTAATGGCATTGGAAGCTAGGAGCAGAGCTGGTGGGGCGGCAGGTTTAAAACAGTTTCTTCATCTCTGGAGAAGGAATGAGCCAAGATAACATGACAGTGCCCTATAGAGAAGAGATTTGCAGAAGCATTGTGTCCTTGTACCATGTGGTGGACGAGAGGGAGCCAGGAGCTCTGAGCTGGCACCAAAGGTCATTTGATTTTGCCTCTGGGGACATCTATCAGGAGCGGGTAAGACTTGGCTGTAGCTAACCTAGCACTCTCCCATCTGTCCTTGTTGTCTTCTGAAGGCTTTTGCGTTGTGGGAGGTATTCAGTTTCCACACACCCAGTAGCTGCTCTAGATAAGCGAGACCCATTGCCCAGGGTCTTGGGAAGCTGAGGGCATGAATTGGGATGGAAATTAGAGGCCCAAATGGCTGCGCTGTAGAGGCCAGATAGCCATGGGAGGCCTGGCAGAAGAGGAGGAGGAGGAGAGGATGAAGCGCGAAGGTGAGAGGTCCTGAAGCACCTGAAGAGTGGTCAGCGGGGCTGGTGGCAGGAAGACGTAAGTCAAGGAAGACCTGGCAGGGTTTGAGAATAAGGCTCACCACTGGCTCTGCAGAAGCACCACAGAAAAGGATGAAACATGTAGCATAGAGCTTGGAGTTCTGTGTGTTCCAGGGCTGGGCTCTGCCATTTACTGGTTGGATGGCTTTGGGGAAGTTATTTTTCTCTCCTGAATTTGATTGCCTCATGTGGACAAGGGAGTTAGTATAGCTATCCCTCAGGACTGGGGTGATCATTAAATAAACTGATGTGTCTAGAGTGATGGACAGGGTGTCTGGCACAGACTAAATGATGAGTCAGTGATCATGGCTGCAGTGATCGGTACACAGTAGATGTTCGCCCAGTGACAGCTGAGTGAATAGGTGCACCGTGTCACCTCCCACTTATGGGCATCACAAAACCCCCTTTTAAACAGCTGAGCTTGGATTTGGCCTTCACAATGCTCGGGGTTGATTTTCTTATTCTCCTTCAATAATGTGGACATGGAGGTCCAGCATGGTTAGGGACTTGCTCAAGGCTCCCCAGCTGCTATGTGAAGGGGAATTGGTTCTCCTACATCTCAGGGCAGAGTGCCCTCTATGAGTCCTCCCATGACAGCCCCTGACTTGACTTGGGAGGCCGAACTCATCCATGCTGACCTGCTGCATTGTACAGAGCCCACACTGACCTCTCCAGGGCTCCCCCAACTGCTTCCTTTTAATATTGCATTTGCCATTCACACATGAAATAGTCCTGTTTCCCCCTGGTAACACATATGTGCAAAGCTCCTACCTCAGGAATAAGGATGAAGAATATGCATCATTGTAATTTTTCCCACAGGCCATCCCTTTCCCAACACTCCTGTTTTGATCTTTGCACAAATGGGATTGAACTGGGGTAGCCACTTGGTACAATAAATTCTATGGAACTTTATACCCTCCCAAAGCACCTGCACAGCCATGTGTGTGTATATATATAATCTTTACAACAAATGCATGCAACTAAGAGGGCTGGTATCATGAATATACCCATTTTGCAGATTAGAAAACATAGATCAAGAGAGATCAAAGACAAGGTTTTATTCCCCATCAAGAACAGGACTAATGTCTAAAAATATTTTTTCTATGTTTGATTCTTAATTAAACATTACCTGGGGAAGTGTTTGCTTCATGCAAATAATAACACACTATCTTATTTGTATAATACTTTACAATTTATGGCATTTACCCATGTTATTTTACTGGTCTTCACAAAGCAGCTATGATTTTTTTCTTGTCTGACAATGCTCACACAACTAGCTAGTGTCAGATATGGGCCTCAAACCACCATTTCCCAGTGTGGATTTCAAGGGAGTACTAGGCTCAATACATCATGTAAAAATGTTTTGAGAACTGTGTTCCCCACTTTTGGTGGCTTATTGTGCCCTTTGGCATGTTAGTTTCCAAGATATTCAATAAGAAAGAGACTTGTTTAATTAGGGACTCTTCAGCCTTTGCCTCCCTTGTCTAAGTATTGAGGCTATATTTTGCAACAAAACAAAACAACCAAACCAGCCTATAAACAGGCTGTGGAAATACTGCTTCAGGGATGAGTGTGGGCCGACATCCCTCCCTGGTGTTTTCAGGTGTAAGGCTGAGAGAGGAGAGTATAGAGGGAGGGATGGGGAAGAGGTTTTCTTCTGTGGACCATCAGAGTCAAAGCCCCTTCCCCAGGATGTGCCTTTCCTTCCCGTGACCCCGGACAGTGTTGCCCAGAGAACTCACTCAATACTAGGCTCAGGCAGTCTAATCTTGATCTAGGGTAAGATCAGAGTAGGGTCTGTGAGTAGTGCATGGTGAGGTGATATGAGGCAGTCGTTCTGAGCAGTGAACACTGCAGCTCTGTTAGTCGCATCTCCCATTCCTGATGATGGGGACACTGCCTCTAAATCACCTACAGGAGTAAGCAGAGTGGGAATGAGAAGCCAAGTTTGCCTCCTGGCCATATGCCTTAGGTTAATGTTTCAGTCTTTCTTGGCCTCAGTTTCTTCATCCTCAAAGTGGGGATAGCAGAACATGGGTGATACAAGAACAGAGAGGGGGAATTTGGGTGGTAGAAATTTTAAGTGGGGATGGGGATGGGAGGATGAGGGGGGAGGGTTGATTAAAACTAAGGATGTATGATAAAGCCATATGGAAATCCATTGATTTGTAAGCTGACTAAAAACCATAAGTTAAAAAACAGTAAGTGTTAGATGGGAGAAATATTGAATGTCTGGGTAATGCTGCTCCAGGAAGCCAAGAGTTGCTAAACAAAAACCCTGGTGCCAGCTGTGAGATGCTCCTTGTAAGTTATTGTCTAGAGAGATCCCAGAGGCCTCCAAACAATACAGGCTCTTTCTTGCCATTCCTCTTGGCTGTCCACCAGAACTAGCTGATAAAACCCCATTGCTGAAAACACACCTTGGTTTCAAGATATAAAGTAAGCAGAAACTGAGCTTCCTTCATGCTAGCTAGCTTCCATAGTCCTAGAACGTGTTGTACAAGATACCAGGGGAGAAAAGACATCAAAGGTTTTGCTCAGCTGTGAATCCTATCAACTATAATACCAACCTGCCAGGCAAGATGTACCAACTGGTACAATATTGGTACATCTATTATGGGGGAAACTAACTACTCTCTAATCAGATTCAAGGCCTGATCCACAAGAGAGAATGCATGTCTGATACTGTAAACCCAGTCAAAACCCCTTGGCCAAGGAGGTCTTAAGTCCAAGGGGTAAAGTTATTAAAGTCATCAGAACACACTTTATACAGTTCTAAGTTCAATAAAAGTTAAAAAAAAGCCAGGCGGATCTCTGTGAGTTCGAGGCCAGCCTGGGCTACCAAGTGAGTTCCAGGAAAGGCACAAAGCTACACAGAGAAACCCTGTCTCGAAAAACCAAAAAAAAAAAAAAAAAAAAAAAAAAAAAAAAAAAAAAAAAAAAGCGGGGATGGGGCTGGAGAGGTGGCTCAGCAGTTGAGGGCTCTTTCTGTTCCTCTAGATTAGTGGTTCTCAACCTTCCTAGTGCTGCAACACTTTAATACAGTTCCTCATGGTGTGGTGACCCCCAGCCATAACATTATTTCATTGCTACTTCATAGCTGTAATTTTGCTACTGTTATGAATCATAATGTAAATATCACATATTTAGGATATCTGATATGTGACCCCAAAAGGGGTCTCAATCCACAGGTTGAGAACCACTGTTCTAGAGGACTGAGGCTCAACCCCCAGCACTCACATGGAGGTTCTCTAGTGCCTTTCCATTTGTAATTCTAGTTTTGGGGGATCTGATGACTTCTTCTGGCTTCTGCAGGCACCAGGAATGCATGTGGTACACAGACATACATGCAGGCAAAACACCCATGCACATGAAATAAGATTTTTCAAAAATGGGACGACACTTTTGATGTGGTGGAGAGGAAATGATACAATCATATAAACGTGGTGTTTTGATCTTACATCCTCATGGGTTAGCTCCGGTCCTTCTCTCTCTTTCTTGAAGTTCCCAGTATTGCAGCAGTCAGAACTGCTGGCTTTACCCACTGCTGTGCCCCAAGAGAACATCCTTTGTACATCTCTTCAGCTCTCTCACCCCACCTTTCTCTGTCACTAGCCACTAGTCTCTCATGGAACCTCAATTTCTGATGGAAGTTACCAGCTCTGTTGGACCACCTTGAATCTCTAGGCTGTACCATTTCAGAAACTGTGGGGGCAGCTTCTTGTCGCCAGTACCTGAGAACTCTGCTGTTGGGGCTCTCTCTTACTTACTTATACCAATCAGGCAAGCAGTCCTGGAAGCTAACACCCCTACCCCTTGTGTGTATGCCCTAAACATCTTCCAACCCATTTCTCTCAAGAGCCAGTGTGTAGATGCTGTGCTCCTTGGGTCTCCTGACTTTGAGTCAGTATTCTACAGCATGTCCCAGAGTTCCCACAAATCTAGGTTCTAGTTGTCCACAGTTGATAGTTGGTAACAGGCTGGTGATACCCTATGTTGCCTCTGTTCTCCCATGCCAATTTTTTAAAGTCACTCTGGTGATACCCTGTGTTGCCTCCATTCTCCTGTGTCAATTTTAAAGTCACTCAGGTACCCTCTTCTCCTGCAGATAAAAAAAATGATCACATTTGAATCCTTAGTTAGGTTGTGTCTCTGGAGTTAACTAGGCAAAATAAGGATATTCCTCCATGCCTCCCACAGCTCTGAGTACACAGTCAGCACCTGATAAATCCCCAAATCAAACATAAATGATCTTTCAGAACAGACCCAAGTGCAGCTATCAGCACAATGAGAGCCGCAGGCTAGCCAGAGTGAGAGATTAAGGGGTGTTGGATGGGAAGCTTGCCTCTTTCTAGGTCCTGAGAGCATCCACAGCCACATGCTCGCACCCACAGTACCTGATTATGGGCCACACCTTGGCAGGTGCAGAAGAACCATGGCATAGCACCCTTCCTCAATGAGAAAAGAGTGGCCTGTGCCATGTTTCAAGATGCTTTTGTGAACAGAGGTTGAGACATGCCTCCCTTTCCTGATAAAAATGGTGGTTATTCCTGGTCCATTTGATTCAGAGGTGGGGAGCTGTTACAGTGCTCTATTTATCCCACACTCAGTATGCAGTTACTGAAACTGTCACCGTGTCCTATATTCCATAGGCTATTATGTGTATTTCAAACCATTATATAA